CCTTCTTCTTGACAAAAAGTACAGGAGCTCCCCAAGGAGATACATTCGGTCGAACGAAAACCTTTCTCCAGCAATTCCTCCAATTGCAACTTCAATTCTTGAAGTTCTTTTGGTGCCATTCTGTACGGGGCTTTAGATACTAGCGCTGCTCCAAGGATTAAATCAATTGCAAATTCCACTTGCCTACCTGGTGGAATGCCTGGCAAATCTTCTGGGAACATATCTACAAAGTCTCGCACGATAATAATATTGTTAACAGTTGTTTCTGTATGTTGAGAACCGATAATATTAACCAAGAATCCCTGGCATGACTCCTGTCTTAACATCTTCTCCGCTTGTATAGCTGATGTAAGACGAGGTAGGGACTTGAACTTTGCTCCAAAGTAACGAAACTCTTTCTCTCCCGGTCTATGAAATAGCACTTCTTTTTCGTGACATTGAATGGTTGTATGATTAAGTCCTAACCAATCCATGCCTAAGATAACATCGAAATCTTTCATTTCCAAGGGGTATAAGTCTTCCTCCAATATTTTCCCATCAATCTCTAACTTCATAGACTTAGTCATCTGGTTTGTGCAAAGAGTTTTTCCTGACGGAATGCTAACCTCTAATTCATTATTTGTTCTAACAGATGCAAAGTTGGACCTAGCGACGAAGGATGCAGATATAAAAGAATTGGTTGCCCCCGAATCAAAAAGTACATAAGCAGGCACATTGGATAATAATAGAATACCTGTTTTTTGTAATTATAGTATTAGACTAGCAACCAAAGGACAGAAATGAAACGATGTTTAGTCCTAGGTAAAAAGAACATAGGCAGGTATGTAAAAAAAAAATTAATTAATAAATACCTACTATCACATTCAGATCCTGCTCCGCCTCATGTTGATTCAGTGCGAAAATCGGGCCTTTCCTTTCTTGTTTTGGTCTTGATCATCATCCTTCTTCTTTGGAGGCTCTGGACAGTTGAGAACAATGTGTCCGGGCTTACCACACCTAAAGCACACGTTCTTCCCGAACCAGCATTCACCCATGTGCAGTTTATTATAATTAGGACAGGGGGTAATACTTCCACTTGTCCCACCAATGCGAATTCCTGTGCTTGGCCTTTTATTCTGCCAGTTGCGTCTGTTCTTGCTTTGATCACTTCACTTCCTTTTCCCCAACGACTCCTTGCTCTGCTCTGATATGAAATAGCATGGGCCCTCTCCAACATTTCACGATATGAGGTGAAACGATGGGACATAATGATCATGCCGATCTCATGGCGCAGTCTATTCTCGAACCTCCTAATCTTCTTAACTTCTGTATCCACTAAGTGCGGGGCATACCTTGAGAGCTGCTCAAGCTGTCTTTCATAATCAGTAAGTGACATGTTCCCCTATCTGAGCTGCAGAAATTCTGATTCCTTGAAGTCCCTCAAAGCCTGTGGGAAATATTTTGCCATCACTTCGTCTTTAAACTGCTCCCAAGTCAGATTACGTTGCTGCTCTTCCGTCCTTGTACGTGAAACAGATTCTCACCAATGACTAGCTGCTCCAATCAACATAAATTCTACGCATAATACTTTCTGTGCATCCATACAAGCAATGTGTCGAAATATGCGCTCCAGGCCTCTTATCCACTCTTCGACAACCAGTGGTTCAAAATTACCATTGAAAGTGGAAGGCTTGTACCTACGAAACTGCTCAACCACTGAGACAGCTCCAGGGGCAAAATGCGGTGCATTCTGCTGTGGCGGTGCATTTTGTGGTGGAGGTGCTTGATTTTGCCTGCTCAACTCTTGTACCGCTCGTAGTAAATCGCGCATCAAATTCGTATCAGTAGGTGGTGCCATTTCCTAAAATTTAATATGAAGTTACGATCACATTTCAGCACTAAGTCTATCACGTTATACTTATTTTTATCGTAATACATATCATCAATTTAGTGGGGAAATAAAGTGCATGTCTTAAAGATTTAGAAGCAGGCAATCTAAAATATTGAAATTATTGAAAACATCGAAGTGCATTCATTTTCTTACCCTTTTACATACCTTAGAGTCGTCAGAGGGTGGTCATTGAGTACCAAAAATCGCTAGCATAATTATTAACTTTAATTTGACATTATAGTTAAATTTATAGATTTTTCAGAAAATATAATTTTATTTATTTTTTATTAGGGCATTCATTTACGTTAATTGAATAACTGTATGTAGAAAATCACGTTTGGTTAAATTACTAGTTTAATGTTTAATAAGTTGACTAGTATCAAAAAGAAACCAACTATACAGGTCAATGATACGAAATGGGACCAACTAAACCATAACATTAAATCATAGTTAGCTCTAAAATGTCCTCAATTCAACATCCATCTGAAAATATTATTACTTAAAATCATTTTTTAAAGTATTAATTAAAACACACAGACATTAGCATCTGGACAGATATAAAAATGGATTTCATTTGAAAAGTAAAAGGTATATTTTCGTGTATAATGTGTCTATATGCATAGACTATAGATAGTTATACCCTAGTTTCCATAGAGTTTGTGTATTGTGGAGGAAACGTGTAGAAGTAGAATGTGATTATGGATAAAAATAGCGAAACAGATGTTTAATACAAAAGATATCTGACTAAGTCCTATCACTCAAAATCCGTGCATTGCCGTACATGTGTTGACATTCCTTTGGCTCAAAATGATAATTAAATAATGAAAATAATCACTTCCTAACCACTACTCACATCTTCCCATTTCTTCTCTTTTCTCATATATATATATATATATATATATTTGTTTTTTTATTATATTATATCTAACAACCAAATCAATCAATCACCTACCCCTACCAAAAATCTTGCACGTGAATCCTTCAAATACAATACATACTTAAATTAAAAAAAATGATAATAATAATAGTAATTTAAAGATAAGTCTTTCGACCTCAATAACATAGGCTCCGTTAGTCCAAATTAACTTTTTCTCGAGCCTAATATGCATCTTTAATTACGATCTATCTAAGGAGCCCAATATTCATATGCTTATTATCGCTCCGTCAACATCTACATTTTAACCCGAATAAAATTAAATTTTACTCTATATATATTTTAGTCCCTAAACTTTTAAAATATTAAAACTCAGCATACATAAATCAAATTTTATTCTATGAAATTTCGGGTTACTACAAGTTATATCAGCAGGATCAGGGCTTGAGTTATTTATCTGGGAAGGAAATTGTAACCATGATACTATTGTTTCAGACACAACAAGATTTGACTGATCTTTGATAAGGAAACCAGACTCAAAAGGAAACTCAAACTCATTGAAAACATGTCTTGAAACATACACTTTTCCAGTTGAACTGAGGCACTTATAGCCTTTGTGAGACTCACTATACCCAAGGAAAACACATTTTGTTGAATGAAAATTGAACTTATGCTTTTGATAGGGTCTCAAGCAGGGATAGCAGGAACACCCAAAGGTTTTAAGTGCTTTATAATCAATTTCTTTTTTGTGTAAAACTTGGAATGGGGAATGCATTTTGAGAGTTGGAGTAGGCAACCTATTTATGAGGTGTGTAGCTGTTTGAAAGGATTCCCACCAGTATTTCAATGGCATTTTAGCTTGGGCTAATAGAGTCAAACATGTTTCTGTTATATGTCTATGCTTTCGTTCTATTCTACCATTTTGGGCTGAAGTGTGAGGACAGGACTGTCTAAACTCAATTCCAGATTGTGTCACAAGGTTTGTTAAGCTTCTATACTCACCTCCCCAATCTGACTCTAGGGTCTTTATCTTCCTTTCAAACTTCTTTTCAACCAGTTTTTTGAATGCATCAAAGATGTTTAGTGTTTCAGATTTATGTCTCATAGGATATATCCAGGTAAATCTACTATAGTCATCCAAGAAGGTTATGTAGTATTTGAAGCCTAATGTTGATTGAATGGGAGCTTGTCCCCATACATCTATGTGTATAAGATCTAAAGGGGCCTTTGCATGAGAAGTAGATAGCGGGAAGGGTAAAAGATGAGCTTTTCCATACTGGCAAGCATCACAAAAGACATGATTTCATTAATTTTTACCTTCTGATTACATGTTTTGAGTACTTGTGACACGACCTGACTGGATGGATGTCCAAGTCTCCTATACCATACATCAACTAGGGAATTGAAAGACTCTTGACTTGGACTACTAGAGAAGATGACACTACATGATTTATTTGGAAGAGCTGAATCTTGACCCGAAAACTCGATGTTTAGGTGAGGAAGATCTAGCTGATACAACCCATCTTTGAGCTTCCCTTGTAGCATTACCTCCCTCATTTGTTTGTCCTTAACAAAGCAGCAATCAGAGTGAAATTCCATATAAACATGGTTATCAAATGTCAACTGAGAAACACTAATGAGATTTTTCTTAATTTCAGGCACATGCAATAATTCATTCAGCAAAAGTGGTTTATCAGTTAAGGTAGGAAAGCATGTAACACCAACATGTGAGATGTGCAATTTATTTCCATTTCCAACCATGATTTTTTCCTTACCAGTATAGTCATTTGCTGAATTGATGTTTCCCATTTCTGCAGTAACATGATTGTTAGCTCCAGTGTCAGCAAACCTAGCAGGATCATTCACAGAGCTGGGTGATGCCACTAATGCTGTTGGTTGTGAATAACTCTTGGTTCTCTGATTTGGTAATGCTCTAGTATAGCTTTCATCATATCTGAAATTGTAGATATTTGCCTTGTGTCCAATCTTGCCACACACTTGACAGACAGGTCTATCACTGCTGTTGAAGCCTCCTCCTCTATTTTTGGCTCTTCTTCCACCTCTATAGTTGTTGTAGTTTAAGAATCTTCCACCATTGTTTGGCTTGTAAGCCTTGAAATGATAGTTGTTCAATCCTGGCCTATGAGTAAAATTAATTGATGCCCGATTAAGGTTAATCCCTGCTACTTTATTTTTGATAGTATTCAGATGTTCAAGCCTACTTTCAAAAGTCATGAGTGTTGATTGGAGTTCTCCCTAAGAGATCGAGTCCCTACTGTTTATTTGAACAACAATAGGTGTGTATTCTTCATCTAGACCAACCAAGACTTGTGTGATAAGATCTGCAAGAGGAATTGTTTTACCAGCAACCTCAAGATTGTCTGCCAAAAGCTTCACTGTATTGAGGTACTAATCAATACTCATAGTCCCTTTTCTTGTCTTTTAGAGTTCACTAGTGGGAAAAGTTATTCTAGATTTGTTATGAATGCCATAACTCTCATTCACAGTAGTCCAGAGTTGGTTAGAATTGCTGGAGCCCATAACTCTCATAGCAATCTCAGGAGTCATTGAGGAGTAAAGCCATCCTATCAATAGCTGATCTATGAACATCCATTGACTATACTGGGGATTTTGAGTTACCTTGACACTAGCTCCTGCTTCACCAGTGGTTTGAGTACTAATAAATTCTAGAGGACACAACTTTGTTCCCAGAATGTGACCTTCAAGGTTGTGTCCACGTATGATGGGAAGGATCATATTTTTCCACAGCAGAAAATTATTTTTGTCAAGCTTCATAGACACCATTTGGGTTAAATTGACACCAAAAGGTAAAGGTTGGTTGCTTCCCTGCATTGGAGGCACCATTGTGCTTGAAGCTGATGTGGGTGAGGAATTCTATGGTGTAACATTGGCGTTGGCCATTTTTTTGCTTTGATACCAAGTTGAAAATGAAGATGCCTTTTACATATATTTTACAGTGTTCAGCTACATATCTATATATACACTTTGCAGATGGGAATTAAATAGATACAAGGAGCCTATTCTAGAAAGTTCAGCTGGAGCCATTCACGTGAAATATAGGTGAGTATTTGAATCCACTACAACTGAATCTGGTGTAATAGAAAATGTACAGTAAGGCTGATTAGTTGCAATGTATTAGAGTTAATGAGATAATTAACTCTTAACAGAGTTGATTTGTGTATGCTCCAATATCCCCCCCCCCCAAGATGGAATGTAGAGATTTTCTATCCCCATCTTGGATAAGTGTGATCGAAAATGCAAGAGGGAAGAGCTTTAGTAAATATATCGGGTGTTAACATGGAATGTTTTCAGACTACCATCCTGAAGCTTATCTGGAATTAAGTGGCAATCCAATTCTGTGTTTTGTCCTTTCGTGAAACATAAGATTAGATACTATATATTTAATAGCTTGATTGTCGTAGTAAAAGGAACTTGGCTAAGGATGGTCGACTTGCAAAGCATGGAGAATATACCGAAGCTAATTGAGCTCACAATAGGTACTCGACATAGTTCTGTACTCAACTTCAGCTGAGGAATGAGATACTATAGATTGCTTCTTGGAATACCAAAGACCAACCAAAAAGAATTCACTATCCAGCGTTGGAGCGTCGAGATGGAGAAAGGACCATGCCCTTAAAAAGACTTAATGTATTTAAGAATCTATTTAATGTACTTAAGAACCTCATGTGTAGCATGTAAATGAGATACAGTTTGAGAGGCCATGAATTGGCTAAGATTTTAGATAGTGTCGCTTAGGTCCGGACGTGTAATTGCCCAATTAAACGTCAATAGACAGCAAGGTCGTAATGGGTTGACCTGAGTATTCGCTTAATTTCAAATTTTGTTCCATATGGAGCTTAACAGCACCAGGAAAACCTGAATCTACAAGAACATCCAAAGAATATTTTCATTAACGAATGACAATCCCACGTTGTAAACAATCTACCAAAATACGGAACTTAGCATTGAGAAAATTTTGTAAAGAAACAATGGAAGTCAAATCTACACTAGCAACAATGATGTCATCAACATATACTAATAATGCTCTAAAAGAATGATTTGTGGTCAGTGTAAAATGACTATAATCTACCTTGCATTGTTAGAAATCAAAATCAAGAAAGACACTGGAAAAGGTGGAGTACCACTAACAAGAAGCTTGTTTCAAGCCATAGAGACTCTTAAGTAGTTTACAAACTTGCCATTGATGTCCCTTGTAATAACCATGAGGTTTCTTCATGTAGACTTCCTCATCGAGGTTACCATGAAGGAACGTTCGCATTCTAAACATCATGTTTTTTTTCGAACGCCATCCATGTATTGTAGCAATAGCTAATAAACACCTTACAATCACAAGTTCAGCTCTGGGGGAGAATGTATCATGGAAGTCCACTCTCCCATGTTGCGTGTACCCTTAGTAACTAGGCATGCCTTGCGACGTTCTAAAGGTACTTGTATTTTAGCTTTAAACCCACTTATTCCTGATGGCATGCTAATTAGAAGGAAGAATGGTAAGGGTCTAAGTATGATTCTATTCAAGGGCAGAAAGTCTAGATTCCATTATATCAAGCCAATGAAGATCTTTGACTCCCTCAATGAAAGCATGAAATGTGAGTGATAATTTTTGATAGCATAAAAAATAAGTAAGAGAAGAAGGTTTGCTTGAGGTGAAGATGCTTATCTTGGGCAACAGTGGAGAAGAGGGAGTTGAGCTGAGGATGAAGAAGTCAGTTAACAAGAAAATCTTGCAAGTATTTAGGGGCTTTACAAGTTTCGGTGTACTTTCGAAGAGCAAAATGGAGTGAAGATATGGTGAAGTGAAAGCCGTAGGTGGAGTTGATGTAGTGGGTGATCAAGTGAACCTGTTGGAGAAAGAGTATGTCGAATTTCATCTGAGTTAGGAGGAGATGGAGGAGAGGAGTTTACAATTTCTACAGGAGGAGTGAAGGAATAAATTGGAAAAGGGAGAGGTAGAGAATAATCTGTTATGTTAAAAGAGGTAGCAGGAACTTGGAAAGGAAGATATATTTCATGGACGATGACATCATAGGAAAGGAAAATGGTACTAGTGGCCAATTCAACAAGTTTATAACCTTTTACTCCAAAGGAATATCCTAGAAAAATTGACTTTCTACTTCTACGATCAAATTTTCTTCTACCATATGCTAGTGTAGATGTAAATGCTAAGCAACCAAAAATACGTAAGTGAGAGTCATCACTTTGTATAAGAACTCCATATTGAAACCTAAGAGCCTTTGCTATCTGTAGAATGTGCTTATGTTTTCTTTCTACCAAGCCATTTTGCTGTGGTGTTTCAATGCAACTCTTTTGGCTAAAAATACCCTTTTTTTTAGTAGAAGACAAGAAGAGAGAGCTCAAGTCCATTGTCACTACGTAAAACTTTGATCTTAGTGATAAACTATGTTTTAACTAAGTTGGAAAAGGAGGTCAGACAGAACTTGGCATTTGATTTTGTTTTTAACATATATGTCCATGTACTTCTAGAAAAGTCATCAACTATGGTCATGAAATGTCGTGTCCCATCATAAGCTTCTATTGCACAAGGTCCCCAAATGTCCACATATATTAAATCAAATAATTGTGAAGTTTTATGCGTGCTGGTTTGAAAAGCAAGGATGCTATTTTGCAAGTGGACAGACATGACAAACATGAGAGTTCATTGATTGAGTATTAGAAATTACAATTGGATCTTGAATAAGTTGAATTCTGGAATTAGAAATCTTGCCTAAATGATAATGCCACAAATCAAATTCTATAAGGGAATGCATAACAAAAGTTGAAATCAAGCTATTATTAGTGAAACAATTAGAAAGATAATGCTCAAGATCAGTAGGAGAAACTGGACTAGGTTGTAGGTGATATAGGTCGTGCTCAACTTTACCCTTCCCAATCATTTCCAAGATGAAAGGCCCTATATGAAACATACATCAGGCAGAAAACAAGACAATAATGTAATTGTGAAGTAAGCTTTTCAACAGAAATCAAATTAAAAGTAAAGAAGGGAAAACAAAGGACATTGAGCAACGTTATGGACTTAGTTATCTATACAACTCCTATGTGTGACAGGAGACAAAGTTCCACTGGGCATCCTAATTGAGTAAAAAATCAAAGAAGTTAAGGGGGTAAAATTGGAGATGTTACAGATCATATGATCTGTAGTACCGGTATCTATAATCGAAGTAGGTTTTGGTAGCGTGGAACTTTGTGTACTGTGAGTTGAAAGACAAAGTGATATACTAGACATGGATGGTGAATGATTAGGTATGGAGGACACTTTCTGAACATGATCAGTAGATAGGATAGCAGTAGATGACCCAGTAGCTTTGAGCAATGCAAGCAACTTATGATATTGACCCTTGCTTAGTGAAATTAGGTTGGCATCTGCAACATTATTGTCATCATTATGTTGGATCGAAGCTTGATTAGCATAGGCTCTAGTCGGTTTCTCTGTACCGTGAAGCTTATAGCCTCGGAGATAGCCATTATGTTCTTAACATCATATGACATTAGTTACAGATATGTAACACTTTTTAGCAATATGACCCACCATATGACAATAGTTATAGATTGGTTCCTCTGCATTACCTGCCTTATAATAAGAATCAAAATTGTAATTTGTAATTTTCCAGTAAGTACAATATAACGTTTCCTTTATAAAGCCAGATGAATTTACAATAGACTTAGAGTGACAGAAAATTTATTGTGCAACTAGTACAACAAATTCAGTTGAAGATGTAGGTGAATTCATTATTCGTCCTCTTCTGTCGCTAAATGTAGGAGAAGACCTTAGTTACAGATGGTAAAGGGTTGATTAGCATGTTCTGGTCATGAAAATCAAAATAAGATTCGTTCAACCCATCAAAAAATGCATCACACGGTCGCGTTGATACCTTTCTAAAATCAGCTTGTTTGCCACAGGTTCACTCAAGTAGGGGATCATAGACTGAGAGCTCATCCAATAAACTTTTAAGTCTACCATACTAAATACTCATAGAGTCTTCTTCTCAATTCATGTTTGACAATGGCTTCTCTAGTTCATAAATTTGAGAACCATTTTACTAAGAAAACCACTCCTATAACTCTGTCCAGATTTATTTCGTATTGTCCACAAAAGCCACACTAGGCCCTTATTTGATCCCCCATTTTTGGGATAAAGTGCATTATGGAATAGTGGTTTTTTATAGAATGTATGGTTAAAAAATAAGAAAAAGTTTTTAAATTATGCTTATAATTATTTTATAGAAGAATGTATGGTTGAAAATAAGTTTTGAAGAAATGCATTCTTGAAAAAATGGGGCACAAACAAGGGCTACACTTTAGTTGTTGGCTAGTGGAATTGTAAATCCAGGACACAATCATGTCATTGCAACGTTCCCATGGCTCCAAAAGAAGATTATCAAGAGTGGTAGGTTTCAGAGTTTCATTGATGAAACCAAGTTCATTCTTAGCTCATAATGGCTTGCTGCATGGATCATGCCCAAGTTTTATAGTTTTAGTGGTGAGGAGTTCGGAAATGAAAACTATTTCAAGGTTGTTTGAGGTCTCCAATCAATATGGATTGACAAGATTTGCAAGATTGGTAAATTAATTAGTGTTTGGTTGTGTCATGACATTGCTCTCCTCTATTATCCACTGTCATGGCTATGATATTAGGTAAGCAATGGATAACTTGGAAATGAAAATAGAGGAAGATAAAATGTAGAGATGAAGAATGAAGGTTTCTATATATTTCTCTCTATAAAATGATACAAAACATGTAGTATATATACAATGCTAACTAAATCTAATCCAAAATATTCCAGATAAGCAAATATCTGGCTTAATTACAACAAAATTATACATTAGCTAGGGAATTTTCTGGAAACTTCCTTGAGTTTGTGTATACTCCAATACAGAGATATTAATATGTGTGTGTGTGTACATACACACAGAGATAAATACTTGAAGAAAAGAGGGTTTAGGATGGATGTGATTGAGTGAGTCAATATTGGCTCCTTACGTCAACTTTTTTTCCTCATTTTTTAACAACTTCATCAAAATAATTCATTTTTAATTTTCTTATATTTCCAAACAGACTCAAGAAGAACGATGAAGGAAGAAGATGATTTTGAATTCGATAGGAAGAATAAGATAATTTTGAATTCAGGAAAGAACTGGTATTTTTAGTATATTGGTTTCTTTGACTAGCTTGATGCTATTTTAGGCTGTTCATATTTACTAGATTAATAGATTCATTTTAAATCTAATATTTGTGTCAAATGCTATTTTCATTAACAACTTTATAAAAAAGGTCATACCATCTAATTCCCATGTCATTTTTCTCACTTTCGTATCATGCGCTTTCTTTACTTGTTTTTGCATCCAGTTTGTCTAAGACCATTCTTGAGCCTGACATCCCATTACGTAAAGTGAAAGGTATTATGCCTTATCACCGAGGCTCACATGGCACCTCATCGAATCCCAAGAAGAGTAATGTGATGGTCAAGACCCACACTTCACGTCTCCAAGAAAGGCAAAACAGGTGCCTCAACTATAGCCCAGTAATGGGTAAAGTAAAGTTGTTGAAGTAAGGTACCTCCTACTGCATTCGAGCCCCATATGAAGCTAAAGGTCCCATACGCAAGTGGAAGCTTCCTATTCTGATTAGCATCTTTTATCACTTCTCCCAAGTAATATAATTTCTCACAAAGAGATCTCTTACATACAAGATCTTATGGAAGTGATTGATATGACCTCCTACAACAACATAAATGTCAAGTCATGTCAGCTTACCGCGTTGGTATATAGACCTAGGCTATAGGGTGGTTACCTTTTAGATAACATTAAATGCTATAGGGCCTAGGATGTTTGACACAATCACCTATGATGGGACGCCTTGACTCTAGGATGAAGACACATGCTTCTTCATCCAAAGATCACCATTTCAATTGTATTACTCTAAAAAGCATAAATAGTTCAAGAAAAAGGCAATGTAAATTTTACTCCAAAACATTACAAGATTGCTCTCTCTTTCTCATGTAACCTTTTCACTTTTTTATCTTACTCATTTAGCTCATCCCATACTCGCTCATTTAGCTCATCCCATACTCATATAATTTTTTTTTCATCGACCGATTTGACCATTGGAGTGCTTGCAGCCTCCTCCACCTAGGAAGAAGGCCAATGGTAACTAATGATTTGATGTGAAACCACATAGCAATAGTAGTCCGAAACCCACACATGATTGAATCACAACCCCAAAAAAGCTAAAATCATAGTTTGAAGCTTAACCTAATAATTTATTGAATCAAGGAACCAAAGTTATAAAGGATCTAGATCTCTCAAAATTAATTAATTTACAATGAAAGAATGAGGTCATATGTATAGGCAATAACAATAATAATAAAAAAAAACCATCAAACAAATAGAGTTTTAAATGAAACGGGAAAAATTAAACCTCTTTCACATTTTTGTACTAGATGTACATACCGTGTATTCTCTCACGCGCACGTCGTTAAATTGATTTAGCTACGGATTATAATTTTGCCTTCGTGCGTGCGCCGCTTTTCGGCTACACTCAAGGTTTTGGTTCTTTTTAACCTAGCTTGAATTAAGTGCACTATGCTTTGTTCTTCTTTCATGCCCATCTTGAAACTTTAATTGCTTGTTGCACTCGGATTCTTAGTCCACGTAGTTTGGTCAAGTCTTTGCATGGCTTTCTTTTTCCTCTTTACTTTTGATCTTTTCATTGGTCCATCTTGAACAGGCTTTGATCCTTGCAAGTTTGCATTCATGATTTTCATCATTCCTTCCATTTTCAAAAGGATTCAATCTTGAATCTTCGCTCGCATCAAAGAGAGAAAGATCATTGAAAATAGCAGACACATTATACTCACTTAGAAGATCCAATTTGTAGGCATTGTCATTCTTAATTGGCTAGTTGTAAATAGCCCCAGGGCTATGGAACAAAGGATTATCCCGGGACTACACCAAGGTATTGATGGTGATTTTCAAATCTCGCAGAACAGAATTTGATACGATAAGATAGAAACAAAGACAGGGAACAAGTTACCTATTCTTAACGGCCAAAGCGAGCCCCTTTATTCTGAATTCGTTAATTCAGAACGAATAAAATCTCCCCAAGTAGGATTCCAACCTACGACCAATCAGTTAGTAGCCGACCACTCTACCACTGAGCTACTGAGGAACAATGGGACATTAGACTTTTCAGGGAGTTAAAATGGTAAATCTCATCTAGGATGTAATTTAAACCATCTTTGAGTTGGAAGACGTTCTTTTCACATTTGCACCCGAACCCAATCACTTGATTCAAATGTTACATGCCTTTTTTTTTATTTGCTTGGGATGCATAATGTTCATTCTTCTTCTCAATTTGAAGTTGAACCTTCTCATGGATTGACCTTACCAATTTAGCATTCTTTTTTCCATCTAAATTGCCTCTTTCATCAACAAATAAATGAATTAAATCCAATAAAGTTAGTAGATTGAACTCATATACAATTTTAAAAGGTGAATAAGAAGTAGTCTATGTATGGCGGCCCTAGTATATGCAAATTCTACAAATGATAAACTATCATCCCAACTTTTCAAATTCTTATTGATTATAGTACACAAGTGTTGAGTTAAAGTTCTATAAACTACCTCAGTTTGTCCATCTATTTGTGATGGAAAGTAGTAGAAAATAATAGTATGATTCCTAACTTATCCTACAAAACCTTCCAAAAGTGACTAAGAAACTTAACATCTCTATCAAACACAACACTTCTAGGTATTTTATGGAGTCGCACTATTTTTCTAAAGATCAAATCAGCTATGTTCGTGGCATCGTCTATTTTATGACATCGAATGAAATGTGTCATCTTAATAAACTTATCCACGAATACAAATATAAAATCTCTACCACCTTTAGTCATAGGCAAACCTAGCACAAATTCAAGGTTCACTAGGAACGGGTAAGGATTTATACAGACCTTGTAGTAAAACCTTAGATTTAGCTTTTGTACATGTAATGAATTTATTACAAATCCAATTAACATCTCTTTACATCGTAGGCCAATAAAATTGTTCATGCAACATCTCTAAGGTTTTCTTAATACCAAAATGACCAATTAAGCTTCTCGCTATGTGCTTCATGTACTAACAATTCATGCATGGAACAATTAAGCACGCATAAATTATTTTTCTTAAACAAACCTTGGCCTTTCAGATATTTCAATGACTCGTGATCATTGTGGATTAACTCTTTAGGCAATAGATAATGTTACCATGTCTCCAAAGCTCAAACAAGTGCATAAAGCTCTTTGTAATATGTAGGATAATTAAAAGATGCCCCAGTTAGCTTTTAACTGAAATAAGCTATTTGTTTCCTATTTTGCATTAAAATAGCTCCAATTCCTATATCCAAGGCACACATTCAACCTCAAAAGTTTTGTTAAAGTTAGATAGTGCTAAAACAGGTGTAGAACACAACATATCCCTAATAGTATTAAATGCATATTCTTGTTTAATGTTGCAATGAAATTCTACACTCTTTTTCACAGTCTCATTTCGTGGTGTCTTAAGTGTGCTAAAATAAGACAAAATGACTATAAAAGCTAGCTAAATCATGAACGGTTCTTACCTTAGTTATGCTTTTAGGTGTTGGACATTCCTTGATAGCTTCGATTTTCTCCTCATCCATTTCAATACCCTTTGCACTAACAACATAACCAAGAAAATTAACTTTTCCAATGCAAGATATACACTTTTAAAGTTAGCATAAAGTTGTTCCTGGTTCAAGACAACAATTACACAACTCAAATGTTCTATATACTCCTCTAAGTTCTTACTATACAATGGAATGTCATCAAAGTGAACTATTATGAATTTACATATGAATGCATGCAAAACATGGTTCATTCATCTCATGAAAATCCTAAGTGCGTTACTAAGTCCAAACGGCCTAACTAACCACTACTACAATCTATGTTTAGTCTTAAAAGCAATTTTTCATTCATCTCATTCTTTCATCCTCATTTGGTGATATTCATTTTTAAGATCTAATTTACTATATACATGATGCATTCAGTTCATTAAGCATATCACCTAACCTAGGTATGAGATGATGATATTTTTTACTGTTATATTGTTTAATTCCTTCGGCAGTCATGCAATCTCCAAGTCCCATCCTTTTTAGGTACTAGTAGCATTGACACTGCACATGGACTCATGTTTTTGGTCACACATCCTTTACTCCTTAATTCCTTCACTTGCCTTTAAAACTCATTTGTCTCCTTGAGATAACTGGCTGATTTGGAATAATAAATTTAGGGATAAAATCAATTTGATGCTCAATACCTCGAATGGGTGATAACCCACTAGGCATGTCTTCAGGGAACAAGTCTTTAAGTTTTGTAACATAAAAATAACCAAATTGGGGAGGAGTTGGTTACTTTCCTCAAAATTGAGGCATGATTTCTTGTAGACCAGCAATGTCAAAGGCTAGTTTTCTACTAAAGCCCTCTTTATTTCACTCTTTTTTTTTCCAAATAAACTTGTTTTTTACTTTTCTTCTCTCGCATTTGGCTTCACTCTTTTCTTTTATATTCAGTCACCTTACTATCTCCTATCTTCTTTGAAGCATTAGTATCACTTTTCTTTTGCCTCTCTTTGCTTTTCCTTTTTTCTTCATCTCTCTAATTTCAATTGATCATCATAGACTTCTTTTGGTATAAATGGAAAAAGAGTAATCGATATTCCATCTCTGACAAAGCTATACCTATTTTTGTAGCCATTATATGTTACTTTTCTATCATACTGCCATGACCTCCCCAAGTAAGATATGTCCAGCATGTATAGAAATCACATCTTACATCATCACCTCATCATTATACTTTCCTATTTTGAAGCTCACCAAGACTTGCCTATTAGCCCTAATATCTTTACATTCATTCAACCACTACAATCTATAAGGTCTAGAATGTTTTAGTATAGTGAATCCCAATTTTTTTCTACAAGGGTAGTAGTATTAGCAACATTGGTACAACTCCCCATTAATAATCATACTACATATCTGGTTGTTGGCATGACACCTAGTATGAAAGATGTTCTCCCTTTGTTGCCCCATGTTATCCACCTTGATTTGAGTACTAAGGCATGCCTCATAACAATTGTTTCACCAATCACCATCACTAGTATCATCTAATTCGGCATCTCATCACTATCACTCACCACCTTCTATTTGGGCATTGAGAAGCAATATGTCCTGAACCTAAGCATTTAAAACACTTAATATCCCTATTCCTAGGAGGTTAGGAATCTGCCTGCAGTTTTATTTTGCTACTTTCTTCAGTTTTTCCTTGGTGGTTTGGTCTTAACCTTTGATACAGTCCTGTCACTTCTATTACTATCTCACTTAGTTTTCAAGAAGGATTATAACTCGAAGAACTAAAGAATACCTAGCTACTTTTCTTTTAATTGCCCCTTTACCTCCATAGCCACATGTAACATGTCTTCTAACTCTATATAATGCTGCAATTCCACTACATTCACTATCTTCTTATTCAAAACATTCAAAAACCTAGCCACCGTAGTGTCACAATCCTCCTCAACATTTGTACTAATCATAGCTATCTCTATCTCCTTATGGTAATCCTCCACACTCCTCGAACCTTGACTAAGGCCTTGAAATTTTTTTTATAAAGATCCTTATAACAATGATTAGGTAAAAGTCTCTTTCTCGTGATAGCCTATTAACTCACCCCATGGTTTAATAGGCCTCTCATGATTCCTCATCCTACTTGTTCCCAATTGATCCTTCCATCTATGATGGCATAATCGATAAATTCTATCATTGCTAATTTCACATTTTTCTTCTCTGAATAGTTACGATAATCAAAGATCAAATTCAATTTCTTTTCCTACTCTAAATATACCTCCAAATCGTTTCTACCTCGGAATGAAGGAATTTTCATCTTAATGCTAGCCAAATTCTGATCAAACTTATCTCTACCAAAGTCTATAGGATCTCATCCACACCCTATTTAACACCTATCTCCTCTATTCTTCATCCTACCCACTTTGGCCTCTGATATTCGATCATTTTCATTAGCGCTATCCATTTCAGTTCCATCATCAGATTCGACTCTAAGATCATGCCTACCTTGCATCTTAACATTAGGAACTCCTCTAGGTGGCAGCCTTTGTAAGTTAGTTATCATCATACCCTGCCGATCCATTCTATCTCTGATCTCTCCAAAATACCACATTCATTCGCTGGAATTGTTGTTGCTTGGCTCTCGTCATGAAGGCTTGATTGTTTCCATCTCTAGATATTGATTCTTCTTTATCGGACATCTTAATAACTAGAATTTGTATGCCTCACGTGTTTGCACTCGTGTTTCACTCTAATTTGGCTTTTCCCTTTAACAATCTCACCACTCTTGCTTTTTTCCTCTTAATGCTTTCTTTTCACATTCTCTAAGGAAATAATTGATCTCAATCAAAATTTTCTGTCCTTGTGAGGTTCAAACTCGCATGAACTAGAAATTTAAGAAGGATAATAACTCAGGAAAATGGACTCAAGAAAGGAAGGAATGAAAGAATTGAATGAAACACAACTAAGAAATTTAAGAATTATTTTCTTGGAATGAATTTGTACTTTTTCCACAACAATGTTGATACCAATGAATGATTTAGGTATTGAACTAATTTCTTAAAAGAAATTGCACTTTAAGAATTTTCAAGAAAGTTTTTCTTAAAATTGAATAAGCCTCTTTTTGGCTCCAATTTTCTTTTTATTTTTGTTGGAATTTTTTTCTAAAATACGGGAAGGAAAGACTAGTGGATTGGCTTAGGGGGCAAGTTCAACCGAAGGATCTTCTTCTTTCACCGAAATATTTTAATTTTTTACATTAAATATGTAAAAAAATCAACAAAAGCAAGAAAGAGAAAGAAATTGTATTGGTGCACTATCTTTAATGCACAAAATAATTCTTGAATGTTCTTAGTATTTGTATTGATGCAAAAGACTCAATGACAAAGTTGTGAAATAGAAAAGAAATGAAAAGATAAAGATATAACCTTGATTTTAGAGGCAAAGCTCGAATATCAAATGATGTGAACCAAGTGGCAATAGTAATTTCAAAACCCACACAAGATTGAGCCCTCGTTTGGCCCCCATTAATTTTGATTATAATGGGGGGAATA